GGTAGTAAATTCCACTACCTTTTTTATTTTCACACAAAAATAGAGAGAAAAAAAAGTGTTTTTACATTATATTTTATTTTGTAATAATTCTTTTCTAATTTATTTCTCACGTATTTCTACTCTTTTATTTATCTTTTCTTTATTTTTTTTCCACTTTATTTCTCACAAATTTATTTTCTGGTTATCAAACATATCCTAAACTTTTGAACAACGTTAAGGTAGAGATAGATTAGTGTGCCTAACCCAAGGAGTTAGTATCCCTATTCCACTTCCACAATTTAATAAAGCAGAAACGAAATGGGTGCTGTTTTTATTTCTTCAAAGCTAAGTGACACAATTTTGTCACGTGCAATTGAAAAAGTTGAGCCCATATTTTATGAATGAATAATGCACCAAAATTTTATTTTACTTTGTGCAATTATAAATGTTCTCTCCATCATAAGCAAGAGTTTAGTCGTACATAATGATGCCAGTTATCTCGGACAGCATTATCTCCAATATATATACAATTTAGAAAAAAAATATTAAATAATTAAATTTTATAAATAAACATTTTTAATATGAAAAATATTTTAATTAAAAATTATAACAAATAAATACTTTAATTCTTTGGTAATAGTTTATAATGAAAAGATATCTTTTAACTATTGATAATTTCTCTTTAAAAGGTTTAAATTTAGTTTTCAAATAAAATAAAAAATAGATTATAAGAGATAAGGTATTAGGGAAAAAAACACCCTAATAATACTCTCTTGAAATATTCTTAAAACGCTCTAGTTAAAAGAGAGAGAAAATAATTCCTCAAAATATTCTTCTATAATAAAATATTTATTTTAATTTATTTAGAGAGACAATACATTCATTTTTACATTCTCGGTAAATTGTAAATAATCATTAATAATAATATTGTTAAATCTTATAACAACTACGGTAAATACACTGATGAAAAAAGGAAAATGACACTAAAGAAATATTTGACACATGATAAATTTTTTCATGCTAAAAAAAAATAAGACACTTATATCATATTAAAATGAATTCTTACATCAAAACAATGTTTTCTACAAGTATTTTTTAAAACAACAAATAAAATAAAAATTAAAAAAAAATTAACACTTTGGACACCAAATTGCTAAAAAAGTAAACATTCCGAAAAGAGAAATATATGCATATTAGATTCATGTTTTATACTTGGTTATTATTATTTTTGTGGGTCCACATAGGCATGTGGATGTGATTTCAATAGATAAAATTGAAACAAAGCAAAATCAAAATGCATAAAGCACATGCTATGCTGCAACAGGCTACCCCAATACCTAATGAGGGTTAAGTCAGTCACAGTACATGGTCTTGTATTTTACTGTATCCCATGGAAAATGTGGTAAAATAAAGCCACATTATGAGATATTTGAATTTCAAAATACCCCACCCATTTATATGGTTTGGAGTTTGGACCCGCCACAAAGCAGAATAGGGTAAAAATATAAAAACGTACATCTAAATTTGCATTGGGCAAACATTGGTCCCATTGAATGCAATGTTCACGTAGTCAACCTGCAACTGTCCCATATAATGGAAATGAAGGCACATGTATGAAACTTAGCATCCCAATTCTCAAACAACCATTTCTCATGTTTGGCCAAATAATAATAATTCACCCACCTGCTTTTATGGCACTGCACCGCCCACTGTCACTACGACTAGGACCCTTGTTTTTAATTTTAAGGTTCAACGCAGATTGCAAAAATCCAAAACATCTTCTCACTAAGAGCATCTACGATAGCAACTCCCAATCATTTTAAATGAGTTCCACTGTGCCACGTCATTCATAAGCAACTCATACTATATTTTTACAACTTTTGTTCCAATAAAAATTGCTTATAAGCACCTCAACTTTTTTACAACTCATATTACACTTTTTGACACATCAACTTTTTTACAACTCATATTTCAATAATAAAAGAAATTACATAAAAAAAATATATCAAAAATTTTAATAATAAAAAGAAATTACATAATAAAAAAATACAATAATAAAAAAAATTATTAATAAAAAGAAATACCAAAAATTACAATAATAAAAAAATTACATAATAAAGAGAAATTACATAATAAAAAGAAATACCAAAAATTACAACAAAATTAAATACGCACTAATAAAAATTAAAATTACAATAATATTTAATCTCCTAATTTGCGCCTAATAAAATTATAAGTCAAATTCATGATCTTTGAGCTGCTTCTCAGTCATTCCAGATGTGTCCTTCATGAGAATTTCATACATTGCACTAAAGTTAGCTGCTTCCTTCACTTCAGCCAATTTCTTAACTGCAGCACTTCTTTCTAACATTGCTTTTGTCATGTTATCCATCTCCTCTTTGTTGGAAGATGTTTCGTCAACCTTTCCTTTTACTTTTTCTCTTCGCTGCTTTTTGACCTATTGGACGAGACATTGGTGTTGTTGGGTCATATTCTTCACAATCATTGGATGCATGTGTTAGAAGACGTTGAGTATTGCCCAGATTTAGAAATCTTTGATCGTTTGGAAGAGCTCTCCATTGATTCAGATTTCCATTTTGGCTCATCTCTTAATAATAGTCATGCATGCTCAAAATTGAATTTTTCACCTACATCTTGCGAGTAAATTTTATATGCATTTGCCATGATGTCTTTTTCTGAGTTGCCACTTTTTTTTTATCACGAGCTTGTTTATAACATCCGACAAATAATTGAACAGCTTTATTGATTCAAAACCAACGACTTTTTAACTGACCTGGATTTCTTACTGGAAATTGATTGCGATTGTTGTTGTAATTCTCCTTGATTCTAATCCCGAAACTATTTCCCGTTTGATCAACTCCAACAATTGGATCCTTCGAAATGTTGAGCCATGATTGAATAAGTAAATTATCATCTTCGACAGAAAAACTTACGCGTGATTTTTTTTGAGTAAATATTTCTTCTCCTTGTTGCCCTCCAACATCAAGTATGATGTTCTCTAGCCCTACTTGAGACTCGGATACGGAACCAATCGGTGAATCTGTTTCGGAAAAATTTGAAGGCCTAAAAAATATATTGGGATTGGTTGGTATTGGTGGTGGATACATAAAAAAAATGGGGATTTGGAGAATTATTATTGGTTGAATGTGGTGGTGGTGGTGGATACATAAAAAAATGGGGATTTCGAGAATTATCATTGGTTGAATGTGGTGGTAGTGGGTATGTAAAAAATTGAGGATTTTGAGAATTTTCATCGAAAGGAGTTGGAGGTGGTGGTTGGTTTTGTAAAAAATTAAAATAACTTTGAAAATGAAATTGATTGGGATCCCTGTGCTAGAATATAAAAAAAATTACAAATGAACAAAAATACAATAATTTATTTTTTTGGATGTGAATAGTAAAAATTTTGAAAAAAAAATTGTAAACTTAGACAATGAAATGCAAAAAAACTGAACAATAGAGTGGAAATGAACTAGATAAGCTTAACAATAGAGTGCAAATAAATTAGATAAGGTGAAGAATAGAATGCAAATGAATTGAATATTGCACATGAATTTATAGATGCAACTCCAACGGTTCTCTAACAGGTCTCCAACGGCTCTCCAACGACTCTCCAACGTTTATTTTTTTTTATTTATGTATATCAACTCTCTTCTCCCACCGCACTCTCTCTTCACTCTCCCTTCTCCCACCCCACTCTCTCTTCACTCTCTCTTCTCCCACCGCATTCTCTCTTCACTCTCTCTTCTCCGACCGGCGCGCGGAGGTGGTCTGGGCTGGGGGGTCGCGCGCGGAGGGGCCGCGGGGGGTTTAGGGTCGCACGCGAAAGTGGTCTGGGCTGAGGGGTCGCGCGCAGAGGGGCATGCAGAGGGGTTATGGGTCGCACGCGGAGGGGTTCTACGTCGCACGCAGGGGGTTTTGGGTCGCACGCGGAGAGGTTCTAGGTCGCACGCGGAGGTGGTCTGGGCTGAGGGGTCGCGCGCGGAGGGGCACGGGAAGGGGTTCTGCGTCGCACGCGAGGGGTACTGAGTCGCACGCGGGGGGTTCTGGGTCGCACGCGAGGGGTTCTAGCGCTCGCGGTGGTTGCGGTGGTTCTGGCTACCATTCTGGTCACGCAATGGTCGCGGTGGTCCATCGTGCGGAAGGTGTCGGAGGAGACGAAGATGAGCCACGTTCTTTTCAAATTTTTTTTATTTTCTTAAATCTGAACCATTTTCCAGGTAGATGCATTTTAGCCAATCAGATTTCTCTCCTCAATGCTAAGCAACGTACCTTGTACAAGCAACACTGAAAAATTTTTAAGCAACTCAAGTGTCATGTAGAATCACTCCAATAGGAGTTTCCTATAAGAACCGTTGCTTAACAATAAGCAACCCACTAAACACCTCCCATTGGAAGTGCTCTAACATTTAAAATAATGTCTCTAGAAAACACTTGCAATGACATGTCATAGCATATATATATATATATATATATATATATATATAAACACAGGTCAGAAAATAACTCTTACTTATATTACTTTTATTAATAATTTACTATGTATGTTAAAATATGTATATATATATATATATATAATTAATCACCTATACACTATCAGTGTAAAAAATTTTACACTGACAACCAATCAGATCTATTAATAGTAATATGATTTGCACAAAATATTCTTTTAAAGTCTTTTAAAAAAATTAAACATTTAAAAGACACCAGAGTACCACGTAGCGACCTTACAAAATATTTACAATTGATTTAGACTTTCTCTTATATATATATAACAAAATCATATTTACATACAAATAATAGCATTAAATCGTACAATGATTTTTTTAGAAATAAAGTTACAAACATATAAAGTGAGAGTATATCTTGGGCTTGTGGGTCAGTCTTACAGTTGATTAATATTTAGCCATTGCAATCCATGGCTTAAGCCCCACATGGCTCGTGTTCCTCCTCTAACCCTGTAAACATATTAAAAAAATTCATTTTCGTAAAGTCCTATGTATTTAGATAATATCCATAAAATAACCATTACATTGAATTTGAAAATAACTGATACATGTGTGACTTATACAACATAGGAACACAGTAGCCTTCACTTTATATTATAGGATCTGCCAGCAATAAATATCCAATGGCACAGATCACCTCTAATTCCTCAATAGGAAACACACTCTAGCCTTCTATACATGCACCAGCAATATAGTGATAGATTCCTACAAGACAACGAACTTGAATACAAATGCTATTGAATTTGTTTATATAAACCCTCCACCTTGGCTTGGAATAAACTTAAGGAAAGACTCCTGAAACTAGATTTTTTTTGCAATAATACTCTAAGTTGGATATCATCAAGCCCAGAGAAAGGCCTTCTTAACCCCATCCCTGGAGCTATTTAGTAAAATAATGAATGAGAAAATTATGGGAAAAAAATAGATTATGTTTCAGGAACCTTGCAGCCATACCCTCCTTGCTTCAGTTCAGTACATTCCCTCTCCTTGCTCCACCCAAAAAAATGACAAAAGAATATGTACGTTGTGAAATTAAATACCTATCACAAGATGGAAAGGGTCAATTTGATTAGACTACAAGCTGATCCAGCTGCATTTGCTCAAGCCAGGCTCCTAGAACAGAATGATCAATAGACTCGACTTGAGGGTTAGAATTTAAACCATCAGCAGATCCAACAGGACCAGAACCTGCCAGCTTCTTCTCTTTCATCTCAGATGGAGATTCCTTAACAAGGGACTGAACCCAGGATAGATCAGGCTCCTCCCCATTGTTTCCAAGCTCAAATGAGGATGATCTGTGCAATCGACCAAGCCCATGCCCATTACCATTTACAGACCAATCTACTTTTCCGTTCCCATGAGGGGATCCCCAATTAGACCAGGAGTTTACCGGGGACCCAACCGCTGAGACAGGATTGTTGGCACCAAGGTCCCTTGAACTAAGGCTTCGCAGCTGTTGCTGTTGTTTCTCACGCTGAGCAAATGCTGATAATCGAGAGCCCATCGGAGAGATTGGTTCCATACTTCTTGGTGACATCCTTCCGGGAGAAGAGACACCAAATGAAGCCTGTAATAGAGGATGCTCAACGTTCCTAGGGGAGGAGACACTTGTATTTATGGGTGATAACGAACTTTGAAGCTGTTGAAACTGATTCAAAATAGCTGATTTGTGTGTTGGAGAAAATACAGAAGCCGCTGCTGGGTCAGAATACCTAGGAGATGAAGAAATTTCAGCAGAAAATAGATCATCAAGATTTGATGGAGTTAGTGTCTTAGACCGGCCAGATCGACTCACTGAAATGGCACCAGGACGGGGCTGTGAGAAACAGCCCAGGTCATTCAAAAGGTGTTGCTGCCCATCAAAATCTCGCAACATATCCAAGTCTTCAGGTGTCATGTCACGAGCATTAAGAGAAGATCTCAATCGGCTAGTATGAATATTGCTTCCTGGTAAATGAAGAGCTGGAACATTTGGCTGTGACCAAGCAGTAGATGAGTGTGAAATGCCATTTGTAGATGGAGACATTGGCTGCGCAAAGGGAGACTGGGACATTGAAGAAATTGATGACGGCGAACCAGGAAACATGCTCATTGCAGCAGCCATATCCATGACATTAGGAGTAGAGGCTGATGATCGGGGCGAAGGAACAGCAGATCCAGTGGACACATACAATGGACGCAGCTCTTCTGTTGTGTGGGCAAAAAAACATACCCTTCTATTACAACTGGTGCCATCCTTGCAGAGCCTTGTCCGATATTGGGCTGGGTGCAGCCAGCACTCAAATACTCCATGAGCATATTCACACATATCCCCTCGTCTACAAGCCCCCTTTCTAAAATCAGGGCATGGCACACAACTGTAATGGAACTTTCTGGGGTCTCTCCTACGAGCATTCTCTCCCGGATGAACAAAAGGACACTCAGTCCAATCATGAGAGTATGCCCGGGAACAAGGACGCACCTTAAATGAAAACATGCGAAACTCATCTGTTGCATAAATGCTGTTCTTTATATCAGGAAGTGATGGGTCAATTGGATATTCTTTCTTCTCTGAAATAGAATAGACAGATGTATCAGTAAACTTTGACACTGTAGGAGAGGACGGCAACCCATTTTCAGGTGATAAATGAGCAGCTGATTCAGGACTTGATGAAATAATAGAAACTGGAATTGAGTGGACACCGACAGACCCATCAGAAGCACTATCTGAAAGTAGACCTTCAAGAGTTGCTTTCACACCTTCAAGCTTAGGAGGAACAACAATAACATCAACAGGACGGTTCCCATTAGCATCCACACAATGGATATCAGCACCAGCTGATAAGAGCAATTTCACAACATCAACTGCATTAACAGAACCCCCAGATGCAGCACAGTGAAGGGCAGTGCTTCTATCTGTCCCACAGGAGAAATTTACATCAGCCTCTGGAAATGAGAGTACAAGTTTTAGAACATCTATACTCCCATAGGTAGCAGCAACCATTAAAGGAGTTCGGTGCTCAAGAACAATTTGTTTGGACCCAATTTGACGGACATACCAGATGCCAACTTCATTTATTAGAGAAGCATCTCTATCTAAAGCTAGCTTAAAATCCTCAAAATCATTGTTAGAAGCAAGCTCGAGTAAGCAGGAAAAAGAATCTTCAGTATGAACAGTTAGATTTTTCATGTCTTTGCCGTTAGTTGAACCTTCTACTGCAGATGAAGATGAAGATGAAGTTGAAAGAGATTTTGATTTCTCTGGGCCACCGCACATGCTTTGGTTAGCTGGACAACAATAATCAAGGAATTTAATGAGTGACCAAAGATATAATAATTGAATAAAATAAATAAAGTAGTTAAACCCACCAGAGAAGGAAAGCCAAACGAGACAGATGGATGTACAATTATAAAATTAAGCATCTACAAATCAATTCCTATATAGTTTCAACAATTGACTTACAAGCGGTAAAGTAGCTGCAAGTCCCTATACCTTTTGGGTCCCAAAAATCTCTGACAGAACAAATTACAAATTTGAACTGAAAGAACCACCTCTATGAATTTCCCAAAAACGTGTAACATCTATTAATCTATCACGGCCGAATAATTACCGCAGGAAGTCATGAAACAAAAACAGAAGATAATAAGCAAAAAATAAAAATAAAAAGCCCCAACATTAACAGGCCAATCAAGTGCCATTGGAATTACAAACATGGAATTAACTTCAAACAAAACAACACAAGCACGCCACATGCATAAGGTGGAAAACACATGCTTAAAACTACACCTAAAAATAGGTGTATTACCTTAACAACAACAGCATCAATAATAATAATAATAATAATAATAATAATAATAAATCATCATCATAAGAATAATCTAAACCTATTATAAAGGGAATACAAAAATATGTAACTGCTTTTGGTCTCTACTTTTATTGGTCTCTACTTTTATCGGACTATTATAGTCCTCAATATAAAAAAGTAAAAAAAAACTTATATTTTCTTTGAATAATTACAAACAACTTTCTAATATTATGTTTGTATATAATTATTAGAGGAACGAAGTGCTTCAACCCCTCTAGTAATAATATTAGTAATAATATCATACCTCCGGCATAGATAAACTTAAACATCGTCACAAACCAAACATGAAGATAAAAAACAAGCATAGGTAGGACAGCAGAATACTCAACCCACAAAGTAAATAAAAAGCCAAGCGAATATTCCAGCAAAATTTAAGCAATGGAACAGATCTGAATAAAATCCAGAATCAGAATCATATCAAACAGAATGAATAAAGTTAAAACCTTGTCACAAAAGCATTCAAAAATTTTACAACATGAAAGAAAAAAAACAGATGAAAATTATTCTTATTCCCAACAGAGTCCCAAACAAACAAAAGATCTCTTGCATATATCAGGAATCTACATCACCAAAACCAGCCCACAATAAAATAAATAAATAAATAATCAACATAAGGTATGCCATTAAAAAAGAGCGGAAAAAAAAAAAAACAAAAGAATGTATGGTAAAAATAAAAACCACGAATCCACATCAAAACTTCCTTCTGTTCACATCACAAATTATTTTCATTATTATTTAACATTAACATTTAATAATTAATATTAACGATTAAAACAATTAAAATTAAAATAAAATAAAGCACATTCGTTTGTTCTATCTGCATAATCAGCTTAGGAGTTTCAAACGGAGAGTAACAACTTGGATTCGATTTATAGAGCAAGAACTAACCGATTAGGGGTGGATGAGGCGAAGATCGAATTAAATTCCAAACCCGATAAAAAAAATAACGGGATTAGAAAAAAAATTCTTCAATCCAAACGGAAATTTCGAAACAGAAAACGAGATTCACCGAACGTAAGATTCAGAGCTTCCATCTCCATCTATAAAAGCGAGGAAACATGGGAAGAGAGTTCATGAAAGAGAAAATGGGAGAGAGAGAGAGAGAAAAGTAACGTAATTGAAATGCAGAGAGAGAAATTTAGGGCGAATTTAAGAACAAAGAGGAACGCACTGAGCGAGGGAGGGGAGCGGAATGGCAGTGAAATGAAATGGTACTGAAATGCACGCCAAATGAAGTCCAAATGAAGTCAGCGGGGAACCGGAAGGGCCGGTGGGAGGGAAAGCCTGGGGCAGGAGGGTGTGGGGAGGGAGAGAGTGGGTTGAAGCGGTTGACTGTGGAGGAACTGATTGGAATGGTGAACTGAAATGAAACTGGGAGTTTGGAATCCGCCAATCAGAGACTGACACTTGTAAGAGCGATAATGGGTACATGTGTTGGCGGTTCAGTATACTTTATGTGTGTATCGTTTTTCAGAAAAATAAATAAATAAATAATTATTTGAGAAAAAATAGGCGGCTTTTATTTTTTAAAATGAGGTAATCTTTTTTAGATAATTTTTAAAATTAGTTTAATGATTATCTATACCGGAGTTTCCTGTTTTCATGTACATTTTATTTAAGAGTATCTTAACCTTTTAAATAAAAACAAAATATTATTAAATGAAGATTATGAAAGATTATAAGAGTCTTTTAGGATATAATAGTTACATATTATTTCATTAATGTGACTAGTTAAATGGGGGCATAAAGTAATAATTACATATTATTTTATTAATGTGACTAGTTAAATGGGAACATAAAATTTCTGACCTATTATATATTAATGAAATTTATAATAAATTGTGTATACATAAATATTATATTTAGGTATATAAATTATATTATAAATAAAATTAATAAGTTATATTATAAATTTAACAATTTCAAAAAATATTATAAATTTATTATTGTGACATAAGTAGATAAAAATGATAATGAGTTAAATTTTAAATAAATATTTATGGTCATGAACTATTTAATAAAAAGATCATATTTAAAATTAAAAAATTTATTTAAAAAATTATTAAAAAAATCATGTTAGATTTAATAGATAAACTTATTTATTTATATAATATAATGAAATTTTAATAAACATATTACACTATAATAATATAATATAATTCTTTAAATAAATTTATAATAAAAAAATTAAATATTAATATTACTAAT